TTGATAGATTTATAGATAGATTTATAGATTTACACCAAAAGGGGAAGACGGTATAGAAATGTTAAAGAACAAGAATTGGGAGTAAATCATTTCAACACTAAACCAGGAGGCAGAAATAGGCGAGGGAACATCGGCAGCACGCTGGCAAGTATTAGAACAGTTTAGAAAACCTAAATTAGAACTCCTACTAGGCTATCTGCCCAACATTTGGTAGACCAATAGTACAATATGCAACGCTGGCATGAAACTCTGCACCTTGTGAAGTGTAAATTCGAAATTGAAAAAGTACGGAGGTTTGCAACAAGACTGGTGCCAGAGCCAAGAGGGTCAAGCTATGAGGACACTAATGGCACTAGATCTCACAACCTTAGAGAGTAAAATATAGATATTATCACAATATACCAGAAAGGAATAGGCAAGATGAAATAATAACTATTTAAACAGAAAAAAGTAGGACACAAGGACATAGGTGGAAGCTGGAAACGCAAATGAATCGAAGAAATGTTAGGAAATATTCTCACCTTCGTACGGGTAGGAGGCCTAGTCGAGGACCGGGCCGCGGGGACGCTAAGTCCAGAAATCATCTCAAGGTGGTAAAGTGGAATGCACTGAAGGAAGTTAAAGAAGCCACCTCCATCTGCAACTTTAATGCCAGATTCGACAAGAAAATCAAACCTTAGGATAGCTAAATTATAACGAAAGCAGTGGAACAAGGCGGGCGTGAAGATGTCTCCCCACCCCCCAACCACTTGGACTGGGCGGTAGAGTGATGGTCTGGCTTCATGCAGGTTGGCGTTCAATCCCTGACCATCAAAGTGGTTGGGTACCATTCCTTCCCCCCGTCCCATCCCAAAACCTTATCCTGATCCCTTCCCAGTGCTATATAGTAGTCATGACTTGGCGCTTTCTCCCTGATAGTTCCCTCCCACCCCCCACCCCCCATAGACACTGCCAGGCAAGTACACATAGGTAAGTGTACACACGCTACACTGCCATCGTAACCAATAATCAGTGTAGCAAAAAATCCTAAATTGCCGCTCTGGGCGGACGCAGAAATTGCCGAGATATAGCGGAGCGGCTTAGGGATATTATCGTACATTATCTCGTGTCCATATTTATCAGCGTTATACCATGAAGAGTAGATGAAGAGGACGAAGATGTCTAAGTGTGTTGATGGTAGAGCAACGGTGTGTATAATATATATAATTACACATATGTAATAGAGATGAGATAGATATAAGAGGCTTCTACAGGTCTGGACCAATAGAGACCATGAACGAGGCGAGGCCAGGCCGCGGACAGCTTCACACCCCTCCCCCCTCTTTAAGAGAGACTTAAAATAGTAAGATATATGTAATGTGTTGGACGATACATAAAGACAGCGAGGTGAAGGTTTGTGAGAGAGTGAGGCAATTTACACGGTGAAGGCGGGACTACCAGGCAATATACCGCAGCTCTAACTCTCTCTCTCCCCTCCCCCCTCTTACCCACACATTCCTCTCCCTAAGAAAAACTCCACCCCCCCCCTCCCTCACAACCCTCTCCCCCTCACAACCCTCTCCTTCTCACAACCCTCTCCCCCGTACAATTCCCTCCCACATCCCCCCTTCCACACAACCCTCTCCCCCCTCCCTCACAACCCTCTCTCATATATATATATATATATATATTATATATGTATGTATAAAATATGATGTATTATTCCCCATGTTAATCTTCCTGCGTCGTAAGGTTGTCTCCTCAGCTTCGGGAAAAGTCTGTCGTATGTTCATGATCTTGCCGGGAGGAAACCTCAGTTCAAAACAGAGAAAAAGGGCAAAAAAAAATCGAATCTCTCTGAAGGGTTAAAAGCAATTAAATAACATTTTAAAGATGACCAATCAGAGCGCGGATCATGAATGTGAACGTAAGTTGTTTACACCGAGCTTGGTCGTACGGTGGTCAAGGCTGTGGAGGATAAAGCTGAGAGTACAGGACCGTACAGCCATGATCACCTTCATATTCTACACCGCAACCACCATTGTGTGTACACTCCCTACCTTGTTGTACTACACACCAGCGGCACGCCTCCGCCACCACCCTCATTTACAACCCCCTAACTTCCCCGAAAACTTCCCCCAAGACCTTCCCCAACCACACGAGGAAAGATTGAGAGAGTCCAGAAATATTTTAATCTGCGCGCAGGGTAAGGGGACGTGCCTAGGAGATAACGTCTTTCTCCTTCAGACGTTGGAACTGCAGAAAAAGCCTTCTCCCAGACACCCCTCACTTCCTATCCTATCCCTCTCTTCCTTTTCACTTGGTCATCCGTTCTAACGCTTCTTCCGCGTCTCCTATTTCCCCCTTTCGTCCACGCTCCTTCCTCCCCCCACCCCCACCCCACACATTCCTACCCCCTCCCCCAGACCTACAGCTCCCACCCTCTCCGTCCTGCAAACTTCCCAGGATGCTCAAGGGGCCGGGTAAGGAAGGGAAAAGCAAAATATTTTGTCCGTGTAAGAAAAAAAAAAAAAATGTTGACGTCGCTGTTCGGTCATCACACCAGATGTTTAAATGTTGAATAACTATGTAAATGGGCTTCTGGTTTTTTATTTATTTCATCTATTGTGATTTTATAGTTTTCACTTCACTCATAGATTTATTCTTTACTCTTTTATTCTCTTGTATAGTTTACCTATTAATGTTTTTAACGTTGATGTACAATATTTTGGATTTCTTTATCATCAACATATCGTTTAGTGGTTCTCTTTCCGCGTCATTCTGTCCTCTTTTGTCTCCATGTGAGGAATGGATGGGAGAAGGATCAGGAGAGAGAGAGAGAGAGAGAGAGAGAGAGAAGGGGAAAAGCAGAATGAAACGGCAGTATGAGGGGAGAGGCAGGAGAGGGGAAATGGAAACAGAAGAGCGAGAAAAACACGAAGATGAGGAGGGGGGTAAGAAGATGTATATGAATCTTGAAAGTGAGGGGAAATAAGGCAGGGAGGAAGAGAAAGGAGAGTGGAAGAGTGAGGGAGTAAGATGGAGAATGAGGGTAGAGTAATGGATCAGGAAGGGGAAATGTCAGGGAAACGTAAAGGGGAGTGACGTAGAATTACTTGTGAGGGAGAAAGGGGTAATGAGTGGTAAACAGAAGGAAGAGGTGAAAGAATTGTGAAGAGGAGAGATGATGGTAGTGAGAGAAGCGGAGTAAGGAGTGACGGACGAGGAATAGCGGGTGTGGGGAGTGAAAGGCAAGCAAGGAGAGAGAGAGAAATGTGAGAGGTTAAAGTCAAGAACAAAGAGGGAGGAAAAATAATAGGCGAATAAGATTAATAAGGACATGATAAAGTCTACGGGAATCCGCTCTCCACATTTCACTTACTCCTTCATTACAGGGGAGGGGATGAGTTACGACAGTGGAGAGGAATACACTTAAGATGTAAGCACAAAGCTGTGCTTACAGGGACGAGCCCGGCTCCTTGTGGTGTACCACACCACAATGGTGACTCGTGGCTGTAGTGTTCCCCCTGGCTTCCCCTACACTCCCATTGGCTTTCCCCTCCACTTCCCCTCCCAGAAGCCTCCACTCTCCCCCCTGCAGAGTGGTGGCTTCTACCTCCCCTCGCCCTCTCCCGCCGCCTCCTACATGTCCGTGAGTCTGTCATTGGCAGTTAAGTTTAGTACACACCCACACGCTCATCCCTCACACGTACATTGTATACTACATACGTAAGACCAACACAATGGTATGCATCGTCAGCATTCGCCTCCCCAAGCATAAATTAATATTGAAAACGTTCAGAGGGTCGTCTCGCCACTGTCAGAACCAAGGAAACTGGGAGATGAGGGCAAGCTGAGGGAAGTGAACGCTGGGTAGAAGCTAGCAAGACATAAAATAATCATAATAAGATAATTGGAAGTCTTGACAACGTACAGTACCACATTTAACATGTTAAGATTAACAGGATAAGATTAAGCAATGTTAAACACACTAAAAGGGTCGGAATCACCAGTACAATTACTTACACACACACACACTCCACCACGTAAATACGATAAAATGACACAAATAACATTTGACGATCATTCTTTTAAATATTAAGAGATGTCCAAAAATGTTTTCCAAGGTTGCATTGCCCAAAATCTTGAAGTCTCCCAAGTTTACGGGCTGTATGTGAGACTTGTACTGTATGTACTCAGTGTAGCAGTATTAACAGGATGGGTATATGGTGTAATGTCCGTATTAGGCCATTTGCGATACAAAGTGATGGGGAGTGCGACTGAGGAGCTATAGATCAGTCCTTACATAAAGTGTGCAGATTAGAACACGCACATGTATGTCCGTTTGTCATGACGACTTCTAGATTGTTGTGTTGACATGATGATGGGACGGTCAAGGTTATGTGGTGAGTGAGAGCTCACTCGAACTACACCAGGCACGACCAATGACCCCCACGACCACTGACACCACGACTATTGACTAGCGACCCTCACGACCAGTGACCCATCAACCAGTGACTAGCGACCGCCACGACCACTGACCCCCACGACCAGTGACCCCACAACCAGTGACTACCGAACCCACAAGCACTGACCCCACGACCACTGACCAGCATCACTATACCATCCACTCTCTTTATTCACAATCACAATAATCCCTCTGACGGTGCCAATAACTGTGTTTACCAACAGTACCTTCTCGGACCTTTACTGACTGGAATGCATCACTGAATGTTTTAAGATAAAAGATATATGTTTATGTATCTTGTAAGATATAAGATATATTTATCTTACCTTCACAGTTATATCGTATGCTTAGTTATTCCTATCCTTCACATTCCCAGAACCAAGGAATATATCGCTGCTTTCCACAGTGGACCTCGAACGTAACTCTTTCTAAGCTTAACGAGTCTCGTATGTTTTGTTTTCATGTTCTTGGCATGTCCTGTTGCGGCACTCCCCTGTGGCATATACTCTATTGTAGTACTTCCCCGAGTGGTACTTCCCTGAGTGGTACTCACCAGAATATGGGGCAGGTGTAGGAGACAAGAAGGGAGGTTCGCTACACAATCCGTCACCACTGGAATGGTAAAGAGAGCGGTAGGGGTCGTGGCTGGCGCAGACGGACGCACAGGGACTCTCGCACCAAGAGGGCTGTCGCAGACTGCTGGCTGGCGCCCTGCTCTTGCCTCCCTCCCTCCCCTTCTCTCCCCACCCCCTCACCCCCCTCTCTCAACCAGCCACGCTACACGCGCTACCCCCACTATTGCTACGCACCCCCCCCTTTTCCACCCCCTCCCCTGTCACCCCCTCCCTTGCCACCCAGCCTCTGACTCGCATCAAACATCGTTAACAGGTCCAACCAGCGCAAGTGTTCAACAGTCCACCTGCTATCGTCATGGTCGGGGTGTACACGTTGCAACCCGTTCTCGCACTTTCTTATAGTCAATATTGACTTATTAAATACGTGCATATGTGACATACAAATTTATTGTGAATATTTTAGTTTACCTTCAAAAGCTTCATAGAAAACACCGACCTTACCTAACCTTCTTAGTATGTTAAGATAAGCATCTTATTGCTTTGTAATTACAATTATTACTTAACCTATACCTATAATAGGTATATAAAAATAAAGCATTTTTTGTTTTGGTAGGGACGCGAGTCTTATTTTCCTCGGCGTCACCCCTTTTATATGACCTGTACCTATAATAGGTTAAGTAATAATTGTAATTACGAAGCAATAAGATGCTTATCTTAACATACTAAGAAGGTTAGGTAAGGTCGGTGTGTTCTATGAAGCTTTTCAAGGTAAACTAAAATATTCACAATAAATTAGTATGTAAAATATGCACGTATTTAATAAGTCAATATTGACTATAAGAAAGTGCGAGAACGGGTTGCACGTTGACACACTCTGGGTCTGGTATGTAGTGTCATACTCCGTGTGGGGAGGCCGTGGTGTCACTGGTCTTGGTGTCAAGATTGATCATATTCTGCTATAACTAGAATGACACTGAACTGGGTACAGTAACACCAGATAAACCCCCAAGTAAGGGTGTAGCAACTGGCGTCCCTCAAGGCTCTGTTCCTAGGCCCGTTGCTTTTCGTAATCATCGTGTGTGTGTTCATATATGGCAATGTTCGCAGATGCCAAACTGTTGAGGCAAGTGAAGCCTGAGGACTTAAGTGCTGCAGGAAGATCTTGACCACATTTGAGCCAACAGTCTTTATGTAGCAGCATCAGTTTCGATAGGTTCTCTGGAGAGCCGAAGATTGAATAACTGGCTGTTAAATCCCATAAAGTGTAACATAATGTGAAATGTCAAGAGACCAGAATGGGAATACATCATAAGCAAAATGCAACTCAGAATCTGAAAAAAAGATGACTTGGAAAATAAATAAAACTGTAGCACTTAAAATGGAAGTGCACATGCAGACGTCCTCCTTGTCTGCTCGCTGCTACTAAAATGGTGGTCAAAAAACTCCTGGGAACCTTCCTTGTCATCCAGCCTAGAGTCGAGCCCTCTGATTGGCCAGACTTGATGTAAAATCTATAAAAGATATGTTCCTTTATATTTCATCATTTCAGACTTGCATTTGACTTGCTGACATAAAATACATAGTTTACATATCATTTACTAAGTAATACACCTCTGAAATCAACATTAGTACAACGGTTACAGTGGAAACTGGTTATAAAGAGCTGGTGAAGACAGGAATACATAGTCATATGACTCCTCTATAATATATAATATATATGGTAAAGTATCCTACTCTTCATACCAAAAAAGAAGGGTCAAGGTTCGCAAGGCACATGTACTGAACGACCTGAACTTGTACGGAACTCTTGTGTTCCAGTGCTTACCGGACGAGAGGCGACTCTTGGTGGTATAGTCATAAGGGGCCACCAGCTTGACCCCTTTTAATAACCCAGACGTGGACGGGAGCCGTGAGGATGGTCAGGTCGGAGCACTCGTTCCACTTTATAAAGCCAGACGTGGACCCACAGGCATGCACATGCACACGGGCCCCAGCTCTCCGGAGCACCCGCCCTGCTGCCCTACACCTCCACACACTAGCAGCCATCACACGGGGTCTGGCGCACTCACTCATTGATTGATGAATATTAAGCCACCCAAGCAGACACGGAAACTTGTACATCATTCATCAATCATGGTTGGCTTGGGGCCAGATTCACGAAAGCACTTACGCAAGCACTTACGAACGTGTACATCTTTCCTCAATCTTTGACGGCTTTGGTTGCATTTATTAAACAGTTTACAAGCATGAAAACTTCCCATTCAACTGTTATTGTTATAAACAGCCTCCTGGTGCTTCGGAGCTCATTAACTGTTTAATAATATGAAACAAAGCCGGCAAAGATTGAGAAGATATACAGGTTCGTAAGTGCTTGCGTAAGTGCTTTCGTGAATCTGGCCCTTGGTCTGTGTTTTTCCTAAATGCTGCGAGGGCGTGCTCGACCCAAAGTTATAGTTTAAAATTACCCCGTAACGCTTTGGAGCTCAAATTTGCATAATGCAAAGTAAGTTGTCATGATTGAGGAAAGAAGTACAGGTTTCGTGAGTGGGCACTTAAGTACTTGATGAACCCTAGCCCTGGTGTTCCTGAAGGAGACGCAGGGAGATACTGCCTGCATTTGGGCGGACATCAGAACCCTAAACTCTGAACAAGGCAATGAAAGCCGTAATTAAGGATTAGGTAAAACAGCTGCAGTTCAGTGTGTAATAACAGTTTGCAATTGATTGTTTACTGGGCAATCTACGAGACTTCATTCTCGTCGCTGCAGAGTTCTGTAAATCATCGCCAGAGATTGAAATATATAATGTAATAGGAAACGGCTATGCCGACTTATTATTTTACCGGAAAGTATTCGACAAACCTGTTGAGAGCTGCAGGACGCCTTTACACGACTTAGAGATCACTTTCATGACTTATTTTCCACCACTCCTTGGACAATAAGTCCTACGGACTAGGAACAAACTTGCTAATGATGGAATATTTGAGTCAAGACGAGTCAATACTTAGCTCATCATCGCTCCACCACGCGCCGGCACATCATCGCTCCACCACGCTCCCAGCAGGTTGCCACCAACACACCCTGGTTCACATTTCATTTAGTGACACTTTCCGGTGAAATGTTGACAGCGGTTGTAAGAGATTATCGCAGCTTCCACTCTCGGATATTACGACGACACACGCTTCACAAAATATATATGCTGTGGAGGCTCAGGTAAAATGTGCGTTACATTACGACACAATGTTAGCGAGAGTGTGTAAGTATTTTGTGATTTTTTTTCCAGGCGGACATTAGTGAAACAATTTAATTAAAATGTTTAATTAAATGTTGTGAAATTTTGGAGCAGGCGTAAAGCAGTTAGGATTGGAAGAGTCCGCCCTGGTGTGTGGCGTTAGTGGATTCTGCCCTGACCCGTTGCTGTCGATTAAGTTTATCAAGTGTTTTCCATCGTTATTGCATTTCCAGTTTCGCAAGTCAGGAGCACTGCCCTGTTACGTGTGGTAATACCTGCGGATTACATGTTGACGATTCCGGTAGCTTTCTCTGTTATCGGTGCCTGGTCTGGGCCACAGCGTCTCTGGTGGTGGACGGCTCTGAGGCTGCGTATCCTGCACTGCCACATAATCACCACAGCCTGACTGACCCAGTAACTCCACCACCAGAAACTTGTCCAGTTCTCCGTTGAAAGCTTCCACAGTTGTTCATCGATGTTTCTTATAAATGTTGGCGGGATGCTGGAGAGTTGTGGACCTCTGATGTCTTGTGTTCTGTAGTCGGCCCTGTAGCGCCTCGACTTATTTTGGTTTGATTTTGTACTTGGGCGCCTACCATATCTCTAGTCTCATTGTGCAAGCTTTGTACCTGACTTTCCAGTATTTTCCATGTCTATATATGAGAAAGATCTTTTGTCCTTATTGAGAGTAGTACATTTAGTGGTTTCAGGCGGTCCCGGTAGTTTGTTTCAATAATTCCCTGTTGATAGTATAGGATCGTTGTATATTTTATGTCTATTATCTCGCCTGTCTTGACAGTGGATGAGATGACCGAGCAATATTCCGTACAAGATGGCACCGGTGTTTTGAAGAGTACAGTCACTGCTGGGGCCTCCCTTGTGTTGAAGGTTCTCAGTCATCCACTCTAATTTGTAGCTGATGGTGGTTATATCTTGAAGTTATCTTGAGATGATTTCGTGGCTTTAGTGTCCCCGCGGCCCGGTCCGCGACCAGGCCTCCACCCCCAGGAAGCAGCCGTGACAGCTGACCAACACCCAGGTATCTATTTTACTGCTAGGTAACAGGGACATAGGGTGAAAGAAACTGCCCATTGTTTCTCTCCGGCACCCGGGATCGAACCCGGGACCACAGGATCACAAGTCCAGCGTGCTGTCCACTCGGCCGACCGGCTCTGCTGTGGTGTGTTTCTTGAGCATTCTTCATTTTTTAGTTTTCTGTCAGAAACGCTACCTAGCTGCGTCTGCTTTTATTTAGAACTGTGATTTACTCGTCTGGACTGCATCCGGTTGGTGTGAATTGGAGAACAAACCCTAAGTTACATTCTGATGTGTAGTTAGCGACCTTAGGAGAGACCACGTTTAAACCAAAATTCCCAGCGCTATGTATAGTAAAACTGGATATTGTGCTTACGCTGCATGTAGTGTACTGGGCACTCGACGCCGCCGCCGGTTAAAGAGGACGGTCGCTAAGACCGGTCGTTGACACGAGTTGCTGGGATAAACCTAACCCGGCCTCACTCCCAAACGTCCCCCCCCCCCCACAGTCCCACACACCTGCAAGCCTGTCCTCCCCCCCCCCCCCGCACACACACTCACACACTCACACACTCACTCACTCACTCACTCACTCACTCACTCACATACACTCACTAACTCACATACACTCACTAACTCACATACACTCACTAACTCACTCTGTAGCTCCACACGGACTATGGTTCATCACCCAGCCGCTTCACCACACTTGGCTGTATTCAGTAATGGCGCTGTCCAAAGAAGGAATTATATGGCTAAGGAACTACGCCAGTACGACTGTATAGCACATGAAATGAATACGACAAGGACCTGGTATAGACCGGTGTTCAGTAAGCATTAGGTCGG